TGGAAGGCTGAGTCAACCTTGAGCCGGTGAGATTTGATCCGCTGATCTGCTGAACTAGCAGTCAGCTGAAGTAGCTGTAGTACTGCACTCCACTGCGCCACCTCGGCTCTTCTTGTGCTGTTTTATACAAACAGCACCAGCACAGGCCCCAACAAGCACGCAGTAAAAATCAGAGGCACCTTCACATGCTGTCTGTTCCATCCTCTGCCAGTAATGCCCCACACCCATATGCACACATGCATATATGCACACATTTTTAAACAGGAAGATAACAACTAATAAAAACTAATATAACATAAGAAAGAAAAAGAAAGCAAAGAGCAAAAAGTACAAGAACAGAAAACAAATTGAGGCAGAATAGAAAACAAAAAAGATCTAAAGAAATGGCTTCAATATTCTTCACAGCAGTTATAAGTACAACTATATTTTAACTCCACTCTCTAAAGTTACATCATAATTTCTTTCTATAATCTACCCTATCTAATAATCAAGGCCATAAATCACATGGGATTTCGTTTTTATTTTTACACAAAATATCCAATCACCAATAAATGTAGATGGTATCATTTCTCCACTGAGGGAAGTTAATTTAGCCATCTCAGCAATTTTGCCAATCATTCTTCCATAGTTTGTCTGCCAAAACTGTGCATATAATAATCTTGCTGCAGTAATCATATATTGAAATAATCTTCCATGTTTTTTCTAACTGATTATCCATTAGTCGTAAAAGGAAAAGTTATGACTTCAGTTGAATATTAATCTTTAAAATCCTCTGTATCAAAGTATTTGAATACTTTTTAAAAAGCTTTTTTACAAGTCCACCAAGCATGATAAAATATCCCTTCATGTTGTTTGCATTTCCATTCATACATTCTAGATAATTTTTCTGGCATTATAAACCAACAAATACAACAAATACATCATTAAAAAAATATCTTTAAGAATATAACACAGTGTAAATTTCAACCCTTTTAATCACATATTTTCCCATTGGTCCATCTATATATTATAGCCAAACTTCTTAGCCCACATTCTTTAACTTGTTCATCCTGTTTCAAATTTCAGCAAAGGTTTACTTATTTATTTATTTCCCACCTTTATTATTTTGATAAAAATTCAAAATGCTAACGTACCTAATATGCCTTTCTCTTCCTATTTTCCTCGCAACAACCCTGTGAAGTGAGTTGGGCTGAGAGAGAGAGGGACTGACTGACCCAAACTCACTCAGACTAAAACTCACAGTCTTCTGGTTTTTAGGCCTGTACCTTAACCACTAGGCCAAATAGGCTCTCTATTATACATTTTCATCTACATCACTTTATACATTTTAGTAATTACATGTTCATCATCAGTGCACACTTGTACTTTAAATTCTGTCTTACTTTGCTCCGCACCATAAATCTTTTGGTTCATTTTAATCTTTCTGATAAATGTAAATGGGAAAACCATTGACAATTATATTCTTCTGCTATTAATTGCTCTCTTGATTTAGTTTTAAATTCCCCTTGATGGCTTTCCAATAATTTCTGATACGTCAACCATTTGTCCTTGTCTGCTGTTTCTCTTCTATAATATGCTTCTTGAGCTGAGATCTATACTGGTGTTTTGTGTGTGGGTTTATATCTATTCCATATTCTCAATATGGCATGTCTAATAAAATGATTTTTAAAATCCGAATTAACTTTATTGTACCATAAATATCCATAAATATCCATGCCATCTAAACCTCAGGCCGTGACCAAGAAACCAAAAGTTTCTTGTTTCTCAGCAAATATCCATTATTTCATCTATATCAAACAAGCAGCAAAATGTAATTTCAAATATGTTAAATCCAATCCTCCTCTTTCTTTTATATCTTATAACACTTCATATTTGATTTACGATTTCCCCTCCTTTCTATATGAATTTAGATGTATCTTTTTGCCATTGTTTAAACGGTAAACAGATGTCAAAACGGCTATTATCTGAAACGGAAGCATCATTCTTGGCAAATCATTCTCCCCAAAGTGTCATTTTTAATTTTCCCACTTTATCATGTCCTTCTTAATTTCATTCTATGTCTTAACAAGATTATTTTCAAATAGAGGACAACTTATATTTGTCATAATAATACCCAGGTACTTTACCTTTTTCTCAATCTTAAAATCAGTTTTTTACATCAGTTTATTTGAATTTATAATTTCATATTTTTTGTTAACATCTTTGTCTTCTGGTTATTACAGATAGTCCTTGATTTACAAGCATTCATTTAGTGATTATTTGAAGTAACAACAGCACTGGAAAAAAAGTGACTTATGACCATTTTTACACTTACAACAGTTGCAGCGTCCCTAAGGTCATGTGATCAAAATTTGGAGTCCTGGCAACTGGGATGTATTTATGATGGTTGCAATGTCATGGGGTCACATGACCACCATTTGTGAACTTCTGGCAAACCAAGTCAATGGGGAAGCCAGATTTAGTTAACAACCATGTTACTAACTTAACCACACTGATTCACTTAACAACTGTGGTAATAAAGATTATAAAAGGGGGCAAAACTTACTTAACAAGTGTCTTGCTTAACAGTGGAATTTTGGGGCTCAATTGTGGTCACAAGTCGAGGACTACCTGCAATCTGAAAACCTGGTAATATACCAAAATTCTTTAACTTCTTCCTAATTAATCTTCTAAAATCTGTATTTGCAGAGCATTTTAATCTCCCTGGCCACTCTGTGGCTGACTTCAAAGTCTCTGTTTTAGAAAAATGTGACTTTAACTGTGCCATCAAGCAGAGCATTGCTGAAGCCATAGACGTAAAGTTTTCAGGCAACTCAAAAGGTCTCAGTGTCAGCCCTGGAGTCCATCTTTTTCTTTGGATCTTCAGGGCTGCCACACTTAGTGCTGTGGGAAACTGGGAGGGGGGGATAGGATAGAATGGTGGAGATATTTAGCCAAAATATTTATTTATTTATTTATTAGTTCAATTTATATGCCGCCTTTCTCCGAAGACTCAGGGTGGCTTACAATGCACTTATAGCAATAGCCTTCATTCTTTTTGTATATACCTGCTTATTAGGGCTTTTGACCCCCCCCCATAAGCGGTGTTTCTACAAAGTCAGCTTATTGCCCCCACAATCCGGGTCCTCAATTTACCTACCTCGGAAGGATGGAAGGCTGAGTCAGCCTTGAACCTGGTGAGATTTGAACTCACACTAATTGCAGGCAGCTGGCAGCTAAGTGCTACATAACAGCACTTAGTCCGCTGCACCACCAAGGCTCTTTCCTTTCTCAGAGTCAAGGACATCTGGGCCTGCACCTGGAGTGGCGTGACTGGGAGGCATCTCCAGTTGGGACAGTGCATTGATTGGACCATGTGATGAACAAGTGGTGCAGGAGGAAGGGACTTGGACTTTCCTTTGGGTGGGGAAAACCTGGAAGCTTTCAGATTTGGGTTTTCCCAAATGTGCCAATATGACATCTCTAATAAAATGGAACTTTGAGGAATTTCTAGCCTCGGAGTCTTCTTTCGTTGGGGGGTGTCACTTGGAACCCTGACAATGAGTTTTTAATCCACTATACTTGTTAATTGCTGAAGTTACTAGTACTGTGTGTCACGTGTAACCTGCATCTGCATAACCAACCTGTGTTCCCTTTCCTCATTCCCCGTTTAAAGACTTCATCTGTCCAGCCACTCTATGTAGTTGATGAGGTGAGCTCAATCTCACGAAGGCAGAAAAGATGTTAGACTCCTCCTGTGTTGTTTTCTCAGGCTGATCAGAGTTTTCCAAAGCCTGTTTCAGGCCTCATACTAAAAACCAGTCACTGGATTGATTTGGGGTTGACCATAATTTTTCTATATGTATCTTCAACAAGGTGCATCTAGATTCCAGTGCTAGCTCGACCATTAACGAAAATCTCAGGCTCTCCTGCTCCCGAAGAGTTGCCAAAGGGATTATTGAGAGCACATTTTAAAAACCAGGCTTTAAAAAAGTCTTTATGCATGTTGTCATGATAGGCTCTTATTTATTTTCATTTATTTATTTATTTTCATCTGGATACTGCAGATTCTGCATAAAACTGAAAACGGTGAGTTGGCATAAACTAAAGTTGAATCAAAAGTAAGCTATGGTTTTTCTTATTACATAATAGCAAGAACAGGATTAACTGCTGTAGAAGGCAATAGCTGCTTCCATAGCTGAGTTGGACTATTTTTGTAGATAGGTCATTTGCTTTTGGAGTGGAAAGTATAACATATAGATCAGTGACTACAGAACAAAATGCCCAGCATATATACTAATTCTAAAACGGAAGTGAAATCTTTACCAAAAGTTGAATTTTGACATTGGGTTGTGAAGGCATAATAACTATACTGGAGAAGAACTTGGACTGTGGATCTCACAAGAGCAGAGTTTTGCCTTTAGTGGCAGGTTCTGGAATCTGTCCATCATTTGCCACACAGAGGGCATGAAATGGGGAGTATTTTAGCACTGGGCCAAGGTAGATGGTGGGAACGAGGCAAGTGTTCACTAACCTGCCTACCGATGACACTCATCCCTTTACAAAGCTAAGTCCCAGCTGTTTGATTTTTTCCCTTAGCATTTTCAAATCCCAGCAAATTAATAAACCCAGGGGAGAAACCTTAGAAGAGACGCCACCCCATTCACCCACTCTGTTTCTTTTCTACCTTGGATTTAAATCTCTCTTCTAGAATTAAAAGAATTCAAGCTGGTCAGCAAGCAGAAAATATTCTCTGAAGATTGAAAAAGAAACTAAAACTGGAGCATATTTAAATCAAAAAGATCATATAAATCATTTGCTTTTTGGAATATTTCGCATGTAGAGTATTTACTATAGAAAGATTGCCTTTTTTAGGATGTTTGCAGGTTCTGGGAGAAACTGTCATGCATCTGCTGCTGTTTGTTATTGGCAGTTGGGGTCTGATTTTTGTTTTAACTCTGAACATAGGCAGAAAGCAGAAGTCATTAATACATTTTTCTCTTTTCTTTTTCTTTTTCCAGATCATCAGAAACTAGAGCGGGAAGCTCGAATCTGCCGGTTATTAAAACACCCAAATATTGGTAAGTGCCATTGCAACAGACCTTCAAAGGAAATGAAACTTGTCAAAGTCTTCTCTTGTGAGAGTGGTGAGCCAGAACTATGGCAACCATTTTGGATAGACAGGGTGAGTGTACTTTGTGCTGAAGGGACTCCTCAGAAAACTTGCCTTTGGTTATGAAGCATTTCCATCTGTCCTCTGCTTAGACAGATATTTCACCCAAGAAAATGAACTGCACTATTGTTCCTCCCTCAATTCAGCTTCTCCCATGAACAAAAAAAAAAGACGTGTTTCCAGAATGTTCTGTTCTAACCTTGAAAGGGGCCTTTCCAATCTCAGAACAGACTATTAGAAGTCTTTTAGAATGGGTCCAACCTTAAAATGGGTCTGTCGATTTCAGGTTTTGAGGTCAAACCACTTCAGAATGATCCTCTTTCGGTGTTGGGTCACTTCTCATAATTGCTTGACATACTGTGCACCTCACTGGAGAGTCCCTGCCTTCGTTTGCATTTTCTTGTTCTTCCATTGGAATGAAAGCTATATTAGATATAGAAAAACTGCTTTACTAGGTCAAAATAAACATTCCTGTAGTTCATTCTTCTCTTCCTTAGAACAAACAACATTTCTTATGGAAGCTCACCAGAGAAATAAGGTGGTTGCAGGGGTGAAATGCTCCCGGTTCGGACCGGATCACCCGATCCCGTAGCGATAGAGGCGTTGGTTCAGAGAACCGGTAGCAAAAATCCCTGACCCCCCCCCCCTGCCCAGCTGAGCCGCACAATCATCAGAGGCTTTTTTTTTTTACTTTTAAAAGCATTTTTTCTACAACCTCTTTGGCCAAAAAAATGCTTTTAAAAGTTAAAAAAAAAGCCTCGGATGATCGCGTGACTCAGCTGGGATCCTCAAAGGCTTTTAAAAGCATTTTTTCTACAACCTCTTCAGAGGTTGTAGAAAAAATGCTTTTAAAAGCCTCTGAGGATTCCAGCTGAGTTGCCTGATTGGCAGAGGCTTTTTTTCTTTTAAATGCCTCTGACGATCCAAGCTGAGTTGCCTGATTGTCAGAGGCATTTAAAAGAAAAAAGGCCTCTGCCAATCAGGCAACTCAGCTGGGATCGTCAGAGCCTTTTGAAAGCCTTTCGCCGAAGAGGTTGTAGAAAAAATGGTTTTAAAAGGAAAAAAAAAAGGCCACGCCCACCCAGTCACATTACCCACCACCACCACCAAGCCACGCCCACAGAACCGTTAGTAACAAATTTTAGATTTCACCACTGGGTGGTTGTGTAATTTTTGTATTTCAGTGTCTGATCTTTAAAGCAAAATTACTGTTTGGGTGGTGATTTGATTCAGTTGTTGTACTTCATAGCTGTTGATCGATCCACAGCCATTGTGCTTGAATCTCTTCTGCATTTCAAAAACCTAGGTATCTAAAGGCTGCCACTATTCCAGGATGGTATTTTAATTCTTTGCCCACTGTTTTTCTCTTTCTCTTTTATTGCAATAACTTTGCTTGCAATTTCCAAGATCAGAGAATCTGTATTTGGTGTATTTGCTGTCCTTTCCCATCTAATTTAGTCCTTCTAAATTCTGTTGAAATAAGATTTCAAAAATGTTGCACAGGGAACATTGGGATCCAGTTCAGAAATAAATCTTGAAATGCCCAAAAGAATTGTCCACATACTTAGAAATGGGGCAGAATTACCATAAACTTGAGATTGGTGTGTTTATAAAAGGACATAGCTGCTTACCCTCTAGATTACAGTTTAACAGGTCAGCTTGAACAGAAAAGACCAAGGACTTTCGATGATTCGTCCTTTCAGGTTCTTTCCTTGTTCTGTGTCTTGCTATTTCGGCTACATTAGAATAGAGCAAGCAAAGCAAAGTCAGTTGTCTGCGATAATATGAGGATTCCTGCTCTGAGCAGGAGGTTGGACTAGAAGACCTTGAATGCCCCTTTCAACTCTGTGATACTTTGCCTCCCTATCCTTCTGTGGTCCCTGGCACACAGGACAAGTAGTTGCCAAAGTTCTGGGAAATGTAACATACAAATGTACTTAGCAGTGTTTGACCCGTCAGTAGGACTGAGGACAATTTCCCAGCTTGCCTGTCTCTCTCAGAAGCAGAGATTGTGAAAGGAAAGGAAAAAAAAATCTAAGATGGAACCTTCTGATGCTGGAATAAGCTGTTCTCAATTCAGAATGGCCAGGGTTGCTCTCAGCACATTCTGAGCAGGAATATTTTGTGTTGTCCCAGTAGACAACTGTTTTTCTGACAGCAGCCATGTTCTGTTACCTTCAGGAGTTGGTAGCTGTATGGTATAGGGAGCTGAAGCAAAGTGTAGTAATATAAACCATTGTCTCGGCACTTTTTCTCCTCGCTTCAACAGTTAGCAGACCATAGGAAAATGCTTATTAGAAATTGGAATTTACCTGTTACCAAAGAATTTTGGAATTAGACTGAAGACTACAAATTGCCTACTCCAATCTTAACTGCATTATTTTGTAATGTAATGTAAACAAGAACATGGAAGGCTAGAAGAGAATTGCCTATTATCTGTAATTTTGCAAATATCTCACTCACGTATACAGCTTTGCAAGCTGGACAGTCTTTGTTTGCCAGATTCATTATGTCTCTTAAGAAACATTATTCCTCTCCAAGGATTTACACTGTAAAAGGCTTACCTGTACTTTTCAGTATATAAGACGCACTCTCCCCCCCCTAAAAGTGGGTGGAAATATCTGTGAGTCTTCTACACTGAATGTTGCCGAAACCCCGCCGACCCGCTGGCCCCCACCCTTTGGCCGTTTTCAGCCTCTGTGTGTTGCATTTTCAGCCTTGGCACACCCTGTTTTACACCCGTTCCAGGCTGCGGAGATCGCCACAGCACATCACTGCCGATCGCCGCCTCCTTGCATCACATTTTCGGCCTCTACGCATCAAATTTTTGTCTGGTTCCAGACTGCAAGGATCGGTGGCAGGGGCAGTGATCCCCACCGCCTGAAACTGGCCAAAAATGCGATGCGCGGAGGCGGCAATTGGCAGTGATGTGCTGTGGTGATCCCTGCAGCCTGTAACGGTCTAAAACGGAGCATGCAGAGGCCGAAAACGCGACATGTGGAAGCCAAAAACCTGACACGCGGGGGCCAAAAACGCAGCACCCGGAGGCAGCACTGGGCTGTGGCAATCCATGCAGCCTGGAATAGCTAATTGGTGGTATTCCGGGAGGCCGATCCAATTGCCAATCAGCTGCTCGTGCTGAATCAGGCTGCGATAACGTGCTGAAGCTGACTAGGCTGTTTGCTGCAAGGATGCTAGCCAGATGAATATCGATGGATGATGGTAGGCAGAGGCAGAATTTTTTTTCTTTTTTTTCCTCCCCCAAAACTCATGTGTGTCTTATACTCCGGAGTATCTTATACTCCAAAAAATATAGTACTTTAGTGAACCAACTTTGGGGCTCGGAACTATGGATATTTAGTGCAATTCTTTTTAACAGAGACTTGCTGTTTGATATGACTTGCTTTCCCAGAACTCTTAGATTATTCTTTGTTTTGCATTCAGATCAAAATGCTTTTAAACAAGCACCTAAGTTACAAACTTCCTAATTCTTGGACCAATAACTTCTGAATCAGAAGAACTGGTAAAATGTATTTATTGAGATTCCTCGTCTCTTGTCGGAGTACATTTCCAACTAGTTCTCTATTTCCATACTTTTCATCTTGTGCAACAGATTTATTTTCTCTCCTTTAGAGGAACAGGGAACCTGATAATAACCCGTTGGAGGGATATAACAAAGTACTAATGAAAACATGCAGTCAAATCATGGTGACGGTTTTCATTTTAACCAAGGAGGAGGAAGAATAGAATTTGTCCCAGTAAAGTCATTAACTTTAGCAAACAGCAGGAGGACTGTTATTTATTCTTGAAAACCTTTGGAATCCCCCATTCACTCTCACATCCTTCTCATTGTAGTTCATTGATTGGAAGGAGGAGAAAATTAAAAGAGAAAGAAACTTTAATTTGGGTTTGCTTTATAGGACCAATTATCATGATTGTACCGTATCTCTGAGTCAACAATTTGGGTTATACCTATTCCTAATTTGTAGTTTGAACAGAAAAACAGGGCAGTCACTAAAGCAGTAGCTTTGTTCTGTTCCTGGATCTTTAGTCTTCTTCAAAATATCATCCATTTTCCCAGTGTTCAGATACATTGCACTGTGTTCTCTTGCCAACAAGAGCTGGCCATGGAAAGCAGGTGTAGAAAAAGGCAGCAATTAGTTCTATGTTTCCCACGTACCCCAAAGTATCAGAAATTCCTTAGGACTCAAATGGAATTCCAACAACCTATCCAGCATTTTGGAAGGTACTATTTCCAAGCTCTTGGAGACTCACCATAAGTTCAAGTGCTGACTGGAAAACTGCTCTTACTCATCAAGAGGGCCTTGGATGGCAGGTAGATAATTATGGATGAGGGCCCTTGGTTTCACATATGAAGCTTTCCCAGCGGCTGGACAGAGACTTGCCTGGACCAAAAGGTCTTTCTTCACATTCTGAGAAGAAAGACAGTCCGGAAATGTTTCTCTTGAGGAACTGGGCCCTGTTTGAGAATCTCCTGCTTCTTGGGGTTCCAGAACCTCTTCCAAAGAGGTGCTGGGCACATGAGATCTGCTTAATAAGTATTTTTCTGACTTCTGGTGCAGCTGGTGTGTTGACAGTGCCCTGGAGGCGTGTAACAATAATGATGCTTTGAACGGGCTGGGCTGTGTGTCTAAAATACATACATTAAAATATGTTACCATGCTTCAGTCCTGCCCTTAGTAAACAATGATTTGACTTGGCTTGTCCTGGTTTCTCCCTAGTTTTGATAGAGAGAATTGCTGGAAATTATTTTATTTGTTAGGCCGATTTAAAGCAACATAGGATGAAAGCACAGCATTATCAAGTGTAGATAGGTCATGACTAACTTATCTCATTGACTTCAGTGGGAGTGCAGTATGACTATGCTCTAGGATAGATCCAACCTAT